CATTGATGATTTTACCCACTATCTCCTCATAATCAAAGTGTGTGCCACCTTTCTCATTGGCAAATACAAGGGCACCCTACTTATTGCCACAAGTATTGAGCAACAAGCAAAATTTTGGTTTTGGGAAGCATACATTGCACCAAGACGGAGGGTATAGGTATGACATCACAACAACGAACATGTGTGAGAACTTCAATGGTTTGTATGTTGGCCTCCGTGCAATGTCAATATCAGCTCTCTTATTAAATACCTTCTTCAGGATGGTTGAATGGTCCGTTAAACGAAACAGAAGGTCCATAAGATGTTTTTCAGTAAATACATCATCCCAAAGGGTCTGGTCTCTCGACACCTCTAGAGACAAACTACCTAATTCATGCATTTTTTTCATTTATTTACTTATATTAGAGCTTATTCACGCCATATTGGTGTTATTCACGTATGAGTGTTGATTATTCACACAACCAATATTGTTTAGTCACGCAACCTAGTGCTTATTCGCGCATATTGTTATTTATTCACGCCACTGTAAAATCAAATATTAAACTTTGAAATATATCAAAATGGATGTCATTGTGTAGATTATGATCAATGAAACACATTTTTAGATATTAATTGAGCATCCAAATTTAATTCCTTAAAATACAGTCAATACAAATTATTAGGGTGAACAAGTTTGAATTTTCATTTACATGAACAACTTATACTCTTACGTGACTAAGCATAGTATTACGTAAATAAGCACCAAATGGTGTGAATGAATACAAAAATGCGTGAATTAGGTGTTTTGTCTCCTCTACAGACAAGAGAACTTTTCCCGCCCTAAAAACCACCTAGGACATGGAGCCATGGAGGAAAAGGTCTAACTTTCATACGGTGATTTTGTTCAGCCGATGATATGACATTTTTTCAATAGAGAACGAGAGGCCCCGAGCAACACAAAAGGAGGTAATGTTCAAGCTATCGCATTTGATACTCTAGGTGGAAAAGGGGAATGCACTTGCAAGACGTTTCCCAGAAGAATCATCTTGCTCTCATGCCTATGACGCTACCAAAAGCGTTAACATGGACCCACTCGATTTGTTAGTCCAAAATGCAATACATATTTAGTCGTCAAGGTTTAAGATCACTAATTCGTGCCTTTAGCTCATGAAGCTTATTGACTAGAATACCATGAACTAGCGATAATCCCTCCTTATCAAAGGAAGCTCATCAAAGGTTGACCTAGAGTGCATAGGATCCAAAATAAGATGGATAGATCATGGAGGCCATAACAAGTTCCAGAGTAGTGATCCACATGCTAAATTGTAGGGCATGACAAGCGCAACTAGAGATGAAAGTTAATGTCTATGTATTTGTGTTGTAATGAATATATGAAGGTGTTTTCTATGTTTTAATGAATATTTGTGACGGAATGAAATCTATTTGTAGCTCTCAGTAGTAGTAAGTTTTCGGCTTTTAATTTTTTATTAAGGTTTAAGCAATGATGGCGGATGATCGAAGCGACTTTACCTCTTATTCTAGTGCTCCTCTAAAAGCACACACTAGAATAAGAGGAAGCGATCAAAGCACGTCGCTACACAGTGCTGCGAACTACATTACAGTTTGCTCCTCAAAATAACGAACAAGTTTCGTCGATGTATAGCTCCCTTCTCAAAGCATCAAACATGCTTCATTGATACATAGTTGTCACAACAACGAACAAAGTTGATTATTGCTCAACTCCACGAACCAACAACCGGTTCTATGATAGAAATGTTTATCTTTCCCAACAGATTGACCTAGTGAAAATGTGGGAATGACAACATCCACCACATGGGGTCGACACTCAACCAAAAAAAATTATAAGTTTAAATCTTAATTTGAGGGAAAATAAGACAATATTGAAAGGCATTGCTAATTATTTATTTTTTTCTAATTTATATTGAACCTATTGTGCTAGAAAATTTTAATTTATCATATATTTTGAACTATTTTTATAATCTTAAAAGGTACAATTATCATAATAGTTTTTTTAATTAATTTTAATGTCTTTTGTGATAACAAAGTAATAAATTCGAGGCTCGAACCCCAAATCATGTCTTCGCCCTGCTCTTAATTCAAGATGACAATGTGATGGATTGTGGATGAACTACTAAACCTTTTATCTCACTAAATCCAAGATGACATGAGTTACATGGATTTGGTTCTTTCTCTAAAAATTGAGCAATAATAAATTTATACTAAGTTCATGATGATTATGAATTTGGAACAAAATTCATGCATAAAATTTATGAAGTAAACGAATTATAATTTCCAAGAAACCAAAAGATGCGTTTAGTAATTAGTAATATCTAATTGTAAAATCAACATGTACCATCCTTATCCAAAAAAGTGTCTTTGTCTCAATCCCAGTTCCTATTTAATAGACCCCCAAAACCCCAATTCTCCATCAATTCTTTGGTTTGTCTACACTTTGCACAGAGAATGGATGCTTGTTTACACGTGTACGTGTGCATGAAAAGAGTTAGATGAAGCCTGCATTCTATTTATTGACTTCCTCTATTTCCTAGGTAAAAAGAAGGAAAATGTGTGGCTACAATGGAGGTTTCAGTGAATTCACTTCCCATTCCAAAGAATAAGGGCATTAATTCAAAACACAGGAAACGGTAAACACTATCATTTAGTCAAGTATCACAATTTCGGTTTAGTATAATAGTTCATTAACCAGAGTCTACAAAATATAGATAAGAGCAACGGGAGTCGATTCAATTAGTTATTTGCATGATGATCAACAACTTCATTAATAACTCATTTTCCCCTAATTTATTTTAACATATTCATCGTTCTCTTCAAAATAATCATACTTTGATATATTGATGATTGATATGGTTTGGAAAATAAAAAGTTGAGACATATATTACCAGCCTATACAATGGTTGTAATATTTAGCCGTATATAACATTATACCAAGGTGGCATGGAAGTGTACCATAGTGATAGGAATATATCATGGTGTAAAATGATTATACATATGATAGTAGGAATACACCATGGTGGTAATGTTTGGGAGTACATAAGATTAAACCATGGTAGTATCAGGTATGTATATGTTATGATTGTATACATAATAATAGTAGTATATTAATCGTTATTTATCATCTTTATATATTGTCTACCATCAGTTACCATCCTATACCAGGGTGGTATATTTCGTCATAATATTTTCTCACCCATAAACAGGTAGACTGGCATATATCATGGTGAACCCATTGGTTCGGTGCAAAATTTTTCAAAATTGAGTTATAATGAAGGTGATACAACCTGCGACCAGGTGGTAAAAAACAATTTCTAGAGATATAATGAAAATAAATATCATTTTGTAGATCATAATGAACTCGTTCCATCCATACAAATTTTGTTTGAAATTCAAATTGAGAAAAGAAAATTCAACCAATTAAACAAACTAGAGAAAATTAAATGTCGTTTAGTCTCACTTTCAAAAATGATCCTACTTAAACTTAAGAGAATATATATAAAGGATTATGCATCTGACTCAATATTTTTTTGATGAAAGCATCCGACTCAATGTTGTTAAAACTACATCAGAGTATGAACCGATATGATGAGTGGTTCACACTTTATTGATCTAATCAATACTAGGCTGTTAAAAAATCGTTAATGAACCAATATCTTAGAACAAAAATATTATAAGCACTAAGCATAAACATACACTAAATTATAATTCCAAAAATAGATTCTATTACTATTAAACAATTGTTAAACATGATTTTTAAAGTTCAAAAGTCCAAACCAGACAACAATCACATTGTTGCTAAAAAAAAGCAATGAAACAAGAGTCCATACATGAATCAAGAGTAACAAATTTAGAAATTTCTCCATTTTAGACCTAACATGTCAAAATATTTTTAATCAACATTAAGTACCTTGCAAGGTTGTCAACCCGCGGGTTGACCCAGACCCGGTGGAGCTAGTGTGTCAAGGGTTAATGGATCACCCGGTTTAACCCGGAAAATATGAAAGTAGTCATTATATTGTACTTATCCTGATAAATATATATCAAATCTCATCTAACATATGAGTTATAACATATAATATTCCACCAAAATAACATGCGGTACTTAGATCCAACATATATTGAAAATTTACACACACTTATATAATATATATATTCAAATGTTTAACTTAGGATTCCAAAGATAGAGTTAGGCGAAAAGAAAAATCGAAAATTAGGCGCATTTCGCAAATCAAAGAAAAAATGACACAATTTGACCTCCAACCCGATACCTTGTAGCGGTCGACCCGGCGGGTGCGTGCTTCCCGTTTTTCTCACCGGGTCAGAGTTAAAGTGGGTCAACCCGCGGGTCAAATTGCAAGGTACCAAGGTTGTCAACCCGCGGGTCAAATTCCCGAGGTCAAATATTCCCGAGGAATTGAATGCTGGGTAATATGAACCGACTGGCCGGTTCGAATGGTTAATTGTACGGACGGTCAACTGACCGGACGGTTATTTAGCTGTTTCGAGTCAAGCAGGTGATCGAGTCCCAATTTGATCGGTTTGGCTAATATGAATGTATACGTGATAGTAAGAATACATTAGTCATCATTTTATCATATATTTAATCATTGTCTATCATTAGTTATCACTCTACATCAGGGATAATATATTTGGTGTTTGGGTGCCTTTTACGGTACCCCGGGTGAAATCCCGGATACCGCATAACTTGAGTATGAAAACACTATATAGATCTCGAATTAGCAGGATTTTGAGCATGATACTATACCCTAACCCTTAATGAGTGAACCCTAGGTCCTAATTATCTAAATCATAAACTATAAACCCTAAGATGGTGCACTAATTTTCCCCCTATATTTGGACGAATCATAACCATTGATTATTGTTTCTAATTAAATTGATCTTGGGTATAAAATTTAGAGAATTAAAACCTAGATTTTGATCTTTAAGGGTTAGAGTATATATCTTGTCCGAAAGATCAGTCAATTCAAGTTCTGGATAACGTTTTCTTACTCAAGTTATGCGGTACCCCGGATTTCACCCTAGGTACCGTAGAACTCCCCTTGGTCTTTGATATTTTTCTCACAAAATAATTAGTAGATTGCACTATATCATGATGAACCACGGCTTCAATGCAAAAAAAAAAAACTAAAATTGAGTTAAAAATGAAGGTGATACAAACTGATACTAGGTGGTACATTTATTTTCCGAAATATATTGAAAATAAACATTATTTAGATCAGCGAGCCCGCTCCATTTATGCAAATATTTTTGAAATCCAAATCAAAACAAAGAAGATACAAGCCAATTAATTGTTAAAGCAAATTCAAGATGTGTGTTCCAATCTCCTTTGACATGGAGATGATGAAGGGAGGGAAAATGAAAATTGCGAAAGAATGCCAAGGCCACGGAAGGAAGGCGGTTTGGTGCATGGAACTTGGCATGTATAGCCCGAATGATCTGCCTGCTATTGATGCATAGTGGACCTGTATGGGTGGCATGGATAAAGCATTACAAGGTGATATCAGGGAGTATCTGGATTATGAAAGTTAATCCAAGCAATTTCTGGGCCTGGTGACGTGCTTTCAAAACAAGGTCAGTGCTCCAACCTCACTTAAAAGTGCATGACTAGGGTAGCAAGCGTATGCATGTTTTCAAAGTTTCAATAGTGTTAAAACATACCGAGATTGTTTGGGTAAGGTTGATATGACATAGTCACAAAGGATAAGCTATTGAAAATAGATGAAAGCTGTAAATGGTTTGTGTTTACTGTGTAATAACGAGATCGAGATCGTGGAGCATTTGTTGTTTATGTGTCTTTTCGCTCAGCAGGTACTGGCAGCCCTAAACTTCACGACTCTCTTGTGTTAAGGGACTTGGGAGGCTACTCTTGTCGTAGGTTATGAGATGTTCCGGCTACGAACAACAGCCAGAAGGCTGACCGGCTTAGTATGGTGTTTGAGTAGTGCTGGTTTATGAAGGGAGCATTGTAAGGAAAACTTGGAATGACATAATATGTTTGAGTGGAATTGTAGGAAACCCACATCTAGGGTGTTTCAGGTTGGGTTCTGATCTTGGGCCCTGTTCGATTATTTGTAACGATTATAACTAATAAAAAGGGAATTAGGAATTGGAATTGGAAATTAGGGATAAGGGATCGAAGAAGGTAATTGGAGAAGAATTGGATAGAATGTTCGGCGGCCTTTGGGGAAGAAAAGGGTCGAGAACTGAGAGGAATATGAGAGATTAGGGTTAAGAGACATTTCTTAATATTCTTCTCCGTCGATAAATGACATAATACTACATGATTACTACTAACCCTAACAATAATTATCCTACTATTAATCATAAGAGAAACTCGCGCAATTGGGTTTCTTACAAACCACCCCCCTTGATAGCAACATTGTCCTCAAGGTTGCAGTCAACTCTTGTTTTCTTGACCTTCCACTTTTTTCGTTTTCAATTGTGCTCACTCTCCCTAACGAATTCCTCTTCGACAACTCTAAAGCCCCTCGATACTTCTCCAATCACGTGACACATGTAAAATTGTCCATATCTAAACATTTCTTCGTCCTCTTTTTCAAAATTCACAAAATAATAATTAGAGAATTGTTCTTCCTTGTGCCCATTCTCACTAGCCACATTGAAATCTTCAATGGAATTCTCCATAAATTCCGCCATGTGCATGGTGGTGAAGACAGGCCCTTTTGTGATTCACTCTTCTGCAAGTGAGTTTGGGCTAGGCTCTCTTGAAAGCCCATCTTCTATTCCAGCCAACCCACTTCCTTCTTCCTTTAAGTTCTCTCCATGCAAAATAGATCCAACAAGACATCCTATTGGTTGCGCAAGTTTCTCCTGAAATCTCGGCCCTTTCCCTTGAAACCAACTACCCTTTTTCTTATTCAACCACAACAAACTTTGTCTTGGTCCACTTCCTTTTTAGTTGGGGTCCGAGAATTGGCTTAGTATGCTGATTCTTATGGCTCAAAACAAGCAAAGCAACCTTCTTTTCCTCTTCCCAGACTGCTCCCTCTGACCCAAGTAGGCACGTGGTCCAAGAGATTCAGCCCACTATGGTGGTTAGCTGTTGTGCTACGCAGCCCACGTTCCATGATCTAGGTTCTGCAAGAAGAGTGGTGTCGCCCTCCTTCTTCTCCTTGTTCATGGGCAGCTACTCTGTTTGGTTCTCATCGGCGTGCAACTTACCAGATGATGGGAATGTGGCTCCGTGGTCATTGCGATGGGTTCGCCCGGACATCCGTCGACGTGATGAATGAAGCAAGTTCATTGTTGATATTCCTCGCTAGATTCCCCTTCATCTTAGTCGTGTTTTCCTTCCTCAGCGAGCAGTCCACCACGCGAATGTGTTGCCATTTTGGGCCAAGCTTCTCAACCTTAGTTTTGACTTACTGTTGGTTGACAAAACGAGGGAACCTACTTCCGATTGTGATGTTTCTCGCTCGACTCGCGGAACTCTGTCAACCTAGTAATCCATGGAGCTGTCTATGCTCATTGAGTCCATTGCATACTTTGCAACACCGGTGAGTCAACCTGGCAGCCCATTGCTTCCTGTTTCTCGCATTGTTAGTGGCTGACAAGGGCAGAACGATGTCCTTGGTATCCTTTTCGCCTTCGACGGGCTTCTTACAAATCATCATCGACTTCTCTTCAACACACCGCATGACAACTGCTCTTCAATTCTTCCATTTCCCATATGCAGAACCAGCTCCAGTCCTTCACTTCTTCTTCCTCAATTTCCAGGAACAGCTCTTTCGATGAGGATCATGCGCAATACTTCTGAACTTTTAGACTAGGGGTGGCTATACGGTCTGTTCCGGTTAAATTGGACCAAATTGATCGGGTCCTTGTCCGTCTTTTCGCGAATATAAGGACCAAAGATTGGATTGGATACAATCCGGTCTTGACCCGGTCCGGTCCCAATTTGATCTTGATTTTAGGTGTTGGGGGTCTCTTATCCGTTCTGTATCCGAGTTTTTTTTACCTCAAATCTAAGCCCGAATATGAGATTGGATTGTTTGTTATCCGGTCCCAGTCCGGTCCCGGTCCGGGTTATATGGTCCAGTTTTGGGTAAAACCAAACAGTCCGGACCAAATAGCCAGCCCTATTTTAGACCAAATTTATGAGGAAAAATCACTTCACTCGCTCTGTTTTTGCTTTCCTTGTTGCTTAACTAATAGGTGTTACAGTTGAAGTCACATGCCTCACCTGTGGAGGATGGAGTGGCGGTTCTTCCCCGACAACTCTTGTTTGGTTGGTCAAGGTTCATTGACAATCTCCACCTCCCTCTCCTTGTCTTTGCTCTGTCTCTCTCCACCATTTGTCCTCGTCATGCTTAGCTGTAGCTTGCTCGTCGTTGCGTCTTCTTTCCGCTCGGCATGGCATGATCCTTCTTCCCTGGTCGGTGTCTCAGCCGCTGGTAACTCCTCCATCCTCGCCACCGTCACACATGGCGTGGTCTAATCTCGTTCGAGCTTAGCTCAAGCTTGTTCGAAATCTGCTCATAATCTTCTTATGAATTCCCCGATTGAGAGTTGAAAGCTTGACATAGTTTCGGTACAGGTGCCTACAACCATGTCTCTGATACCACTGTAAGAAACCCTTTTCTAGGGTTTCTCAGGTCGAGTTCGGATCTTGGGCACCCGCGATTGTTCATAACAATTATGATTAATATAAAGGGAATTAGGGATGGGAAATTGAGATTAGAGATTTGGGATCAAAGAACATAATTGAATAAGAATTGGGATAGAACGACAAGCGGCTTCAGGGAATAAAAGGGTTGAGAATTGAGAAGAATAAAAGATATTAGAGTTAAGAGACTTTTCTTAATATTCTTCTTGATTGATTTTGAATAACATCCACAATACACATTTATAGAAAATACAGAAACTAACCTGATAAATAGCCTAATACTACTTGATTACTACTAAACTTTACAATAATTATCCTACTATAGTAATAAGAGAAACCCACACAAATTGGTTTTTAACACGAAACAATGTGGAGTTTGACTGCAAATTTGATCAGGGTAGTGACTATTCTAGGGTTTAGAGTATGAGGTATATAGTTTATAGTGTTACGATACGTTGGACTCTTCGGGGCTGCTCATACTGAGCCTTCCCTTTCATTGTAATCGGTTTTCATTTGTTCTTTGCAAATGGTTTCAGGAATGAAAATAACTGTTTCAACGAAAAAAGGAAGTTATGAATATATACAGAGCACTCTCACAGTTGAAATCACAAAGTAGACAAAAGAAAGAGTCGTTGGATGATCCAACAATGAGAGGGTTTTTTTTTTGCCACGATATGGGCAGTCCTACTATACCTACTAGGTGGGAAGTGAAATGGGGCATGCTAGAAGGAAGAACAAAGAACATGAACCTTAATACGAAGGCTGCCACCATGCATCACCTATTCATTACCACAGAGAAAACAAAACACTAGAAAGTGATGAAGCCATACATAAAACAAAGAGTAGTCTAATCACCAAGAGGGCTAAAGCACATCAGTGGTGAACAATGATCTAGAATAGACACATAAGGATGATCAGGAACAATTATAGATATTGGAAAACATACTTATTCCAATTTCTCAATTCATTCCTCCTCTTCCGGTTGATTGACTAGCTAGTTTAGTTAGAAATGAAATCTGAGAAAGAATCCGAGTTGAGATTCCAAAAGAGGAGGTAACAACATACAAGTGTTATATGTAGAGAGAAAGAAACATAAATAAAATGAAACAAAACCACCAAAACTTGCTTGTTCATTTCAGTTAATAATGCAACAAACATCCCAATTCAAAATTACCCAACCCAAGATTATCAAGTTATTATGAAACTCAAACATTAAAACATGAATTCAATATTCAAATTAGAGGGAAAGGATGAAAGAAAGATGCTAGCAGACTCAATCGAATGTATAATAATAATTCTTCATCAGCGACATATCTTGGTTGTGTTGAACAACCATATACATTGAGTGTTTTTTTAATGAATATTTGAATTAAGAATAGTCACTCATGGATTAGAAGTTTGGATTTACATAAAAAACTTATATGTGTACATTATCAAGTTAAGGCAGAACACCAAAACCAAACTCAAACTAACCATTTAAATTAACCTAATAGGAACTTAATAACTATAAGGAAACTAGAAATCCACTAAACAACAAAGTTGATTGATTAATAACAAGAAAACTAAGCAAATATCAAAACCCTATCCCAAGCAGAATTCTAAACTCCAAAATTAGATAATTAAAAGCGCAAGTATCCTTTAATTTTTACTGTTCAACACGATAATTACGGGTACTTCAAATATTTACCATAATAAACTCTAATTCACTGTTCATAAGTGTTGTTCTAATATCATGCGGGCATGTGTACATTAACCCTTTTGGATCGCCTCGCAGCTTGCAGAACATCTCAATATTCTTTTCAATTTCTTTATGTATGTTTCTTTTAAGGCATCATCGGCCCTTTCAATTGGATTACTCACATTATGTTTGTATAATGTTCCAGATCGGACCAAATTCAGGAGAACCATGGTCGATCCAATAGTGAAATTTATTTTACGATCAAGGATCGAATCAACAGTCCATTCGATCTGGTTTTATCCGATTCAATTGTCAATTAGGTCCATTTTTCAGTATTTATAAAATTTCAGTTCAATGTGGTCTGGGCCAAGCGTCGGTTTGTTCCGATGCGGTCCAGTACGAACCAACCTATTTCACTCCCCCAACATCACTAAAAGCTCAAGCAACTTAACTATTGCATACAAAAAAATAGTCACTGAATAATAGGAAATTCCCAACAGGTACTGTTGACAATAGTTTGTATCCTCTGCACTCGATTTTATCATACAACTCTTTGTCATTTGCACTACACAATGATTTTGTAAGATCAATATTTTTGACATAATATTTGTCCCATACACTCAATTACATAAATAGATTTTATTATTAGACCATACTTTAAAGGAGATTTACATAACACTATTTTATAATAGTTATAAACACTACAACTAGATTTATTATTCTTAAGAAAAACTTGATTTATTATTAAACTACACGTTACTATTTCATATGACTCACCGAATAAAATGAAATTCCCAACGGGTACTGTTCACAAGAGTTTCTATCCGGTACACCTAGGGGCATAGCCATAATGCCATCTACGAAAATTCTCAACGAGTACTGTTCGCCGAATAAATAGCTTTTGTTAAAAAAATTAATATAATCTTATATTTGATACATTAAAATACATTAGTAGTCAAAACTATCAAGAATATCACTTTTTGTGTACCTAAAAGTTATTCATGATTTAGTTAGTCGTTGTCTTTCGAATGGTCTTGTTTGTCAAGAATCATTTAGTATCACTAATTCGAGTTTCTGAGAGAGGTTTACTAATGACTCTTATACCAAATAATTTTTTATGATTTAGTAAGTCATTCATTTTTTAATGATGTACTTTTTTTAGCAAGGAAATGAGAGCACGAGAAGAGGCGTGATTTCGAGTTTCAAATGATGTATTTGTCAAGAACAATTTAGTATCAATAACTCGAGTTGTTGGGAGATGTTCAATAATATATCTTATACAATTTACTAACACACCCCATCATAAGAAAGACAATTTCTATGGAATTGAAGTTTTCACAAACCTTAATACTATGTGCTTAACAAATGATGTCATCGAAATTCGAACACAAGATCTCTTGATAAGCTATTCTCAGGATTTTTGATAGAAATATCACCGTTTAAAAAAATTACAAAAATACCACCCAACCAAAAAAATTTGAAATATACATCCATTCTTTGAAAAACCCGCACATGGAGAGGCGGTTAAGTGGATGACCTAGAACAAACCACCTGTTGATGGAGTGGTTGTATGTCAACAATATAAACTGCTCCTTCAACATGCACTTTGTCTGGTCGACACACAAACTACACCTCCCCCCAACGGTTTGTGTGTCATCCCCATTCCCCTGACGTCCGACATGTCAGCATGCAGGTGGTTACAGACGTGGGGTTGCATGACAGATGAAAACGACACCCTCCCTCAGTGGTTTTTAGTGGTCATTTTGCTATAAAATGCATCCCCGAAAACCTCAGCTCTTCACCCCTCTCCTTATTCTTCTTCAAATTTCAGTTGTGCACCCTACTTTATTTGAGTTTTTGTGAGATTGATGCTTGAAGAGCTTCATCAAATGTATACTAAGGTTACTTGCATGGATGACACGAGAAAAGTTGATCGTATGGTGTATCGATATCCAAACAGACAAGACTGGTCATTATGGCATGCGGAATTTCTCATAACCACTAAGGATGAAGGAGATGCCATGGTCGAATTTTTGAACACCAATAATCTTTCCAAAGCAGAGATGTTCGTTTACACCGAGGCGGTCAAAGGCAGTGGAGGTCATTCTGGAGGCCAGATATCTGGTATCCATGGTGGAGGTTGATTATATCAAGATTATCCCTACCAAGGTTACCATGATCCTCATTCCTACCATGAGTACCAAGGAGGTGAAGGTCATCTTCAATCCTTCCCATCATTGAAGAAGAAGTCTAATGGTACCATGACAACCAACAAAAAGGCTACCAGTACCAACCCGAGTACAACTTCCATTCAGGCAGCGGTAGTTATCACAACTACCATTACGGAGCTAATGAAGATGTCTTTCATGATCTGGATCAGATGGAAGATGCCCTGCCAGGACCAGTTAGTGACCCTGAGGATGAAGAAGAAGGCAATGTCAGTGCAGACAGCTTCGACCCTCTTGAACGTGCTGATGATTCAGGCCCAAATTCAGACTGAGATGATGATGAGGTGTCTTTTGACCGTGTACCTATCCCGTACTACAATCACATTCCAAATGAAAATTGGTATGTCGATACGGACATAGAGGCGCCAGAGGTGCCAGAGGCACGCTATTGAGACTGAAGCAATGACTCAGAGTTTTGAATGACACACAACTCATTCCGACGCGAAGAGCCTCATGGTTAGATGCCAAAATCAACATGAGGGATGCAAGTCTAGGGTTCGGGCAATCAACAGCAAGAGAGTCGGCCATTGGATCATGATGATCGCTGAAGACCCCATTTCTTTAGGCATGCATCTCTTTATAAAGAGTCGAAGTAAGTGGGGCATTGTATTAGCCCAAACCATTGAAAATAATCAATACGATTAAAAAGTGTCAAATTTATTTTATAAACCACTAAGTACGTTAATAAAATACAAAAATGATAAATGATGAAGCATTGTATGTACCTCATGATCGCTCCAAACATCACTTGAATGATGGTTAGGTTAGTCGTACAACACGCTTGGATCACTCGGTCCTTCATCAACATAATATCTCTGAATGTATATATCCATGTCCTCCCCAACCTACGATAGAATAACAACAGCATATTTTAATAAGTATATAGATTAATTAGAAAAATTATAACAACAACCAAAATTTAGTAAAATGAGTACGTACCGGTTGATAGTCATCATAATAAATACCCTCGTTTTCGCACCAATCATCCATTTTTTCAAGAAGTCGGATAGAGATTCGACGTGTTTTGAAGAAAAAACCAAAGAAATATTTTCTGATGGTAGTTCGGACTTAGCCGCAACCACAGACCACTATTTCATAGGTTTTTTTTTGGGGGGGGGGGTGAGGATAGGGGGATGGATAGAGAGATAATCTTAGAGAGAGAGAAGAATGGGTTTTGGTGTGAAGAATGAAGAAGGGGGAGGTGTTTATATATGATTCAGACCGCCTGCTAGAGGGGCGGTTTTGTAATTGTACACACACAATAATTCCTGCCTCCA